AACCATCTCATTTAGGAGGAAATCAGGTTCAAGGCTTTACAAAGGTAAAAGGATAACCAGATGGCTTGTGAATAGTCAGGAAGACACTAAGGAGACCAGGGAAAGGAGTCTTCAACATTATCCAATCCTACTAGGGGCATAAAACAGTTTGAATATGTGGCTATATGCATGTCTGTTCATATGCATGCCCATTATTTTTGGTGAGTGCCTGTGTGTAACTAAACACTTGTATTTATGTTCCTATATAAAGAGTATTGAACTTGGAGTCAGAAGGCCTAGGTTCATGTTCTAAATCCTATACATTCTATTTGACCCTGACTAAATTCATTCATTTCTTTGAACCTCAGTTTCCTCATCTGTAAAACAGGGGCATTATTACTTTATAGCGAGGTGAGCAGCTCAGTTAAATCATAGCTATTGGTGAGCTATTATTTTTTTCTGTGTTTAAGCATTTAACTGTGTTTGTATCTACATATGTTTGTGAGCATGTGTCTCTGTGTTTGTATGATTCCCCATCCATCTCTGTGTTTCTTTGTATGCCTGTGTGAGAATATAGCTTTGTACATGTGCTTCTCTTTTTTTATCTCTATATATGACATGGGATTTCCCATCCATCTCTGTCTCATCTGGGTGACAAGGCTCTGAACCCTTCCAGGTGCCAGTTCTACTCTTCCTGCCCTAGATTTCTCTGCTTTTTCCAAGAAATTCTTTTCTCTTTCCTCCTTCCATCTTTCATCCCTTCCTTAGTCCCCTAACTTCCTTTTCTCTCTGCTTCTCCTTTCTCTGTCTCCTTTCTCCCCATATATTTCTCCTTTCCTCTCTTCACCCACCTCTTCTCCTCTGCCCCATATCATTTTCTGTTTCTCTCCCCTTGACATCCTCCTCTCCAGCTCTCTTCCCTCATCACTTTCTCATCTTCTCTCTATCACTCCCTCTCCCTCTTCCTTCTCCCTTTCTTTCCCCCTTTATCTCTTCTCCTCCTCCTTTTATCTCCCCCTTTCTCCATTCTTTCTAACTCCTCTTCACCTTTTCTCCTCTCCCATTCTTTCCATCTATTTTCTCTTTCTCTCCTTCCTCTCAACATCTTCTCTCCTCCCGTCTCTTTCCTTCCTCTTTCTCTGTCTTTTCTCTACCTTCCTCCATCTTTCTTCATCTCTTTTCTATTTTTCCCTTTTCTACCCTTTCCCTCTCTTTTTCTACATCCCTTTCTCCTCCTCCTTTTCCTCTTCCCCTTCTCTCCCTCTCGCCTCTTTCCCCACCAGGGCCCCTGCTCTGCTCTGCTCCTGCTCATTTATTGACTTTAAAATCAAAGCCAATTTTGGTTTTAGAGAAAAAGAGTGACAGAGATGGAGAGGGAGACAGAGACACAGAGAGACAACACAGAGGGGAAGAAAGACAAAAGACCTCTGTCCTTCATATCCAGTCAAAGGAACATACAAAAAGATGAAGGGGCAGACAACCTGGTGTGGGGGCAGGACCCAGAGGGGTTTTTCCACAGGCCACTTACTGGGTCCATCAAAGCCTCCGGTGTTCCATGGGGTATAGAGAAACCTGACTGGGGAGGGGGTGGGGAGACAGGGAAACAGTCGAGAAATACTAAATGGCCATGACTGAGACTGCTGAGTTTGACCTACTCTTGAGCCGAAGAGCTACAGAGCCGGGATTGGAGGCCCAATCTGTTCCCTTTGATCTTCTCTATCCACCCAAATTCTTCAGCCCTCTAGCTCTTGCCGTCTCCTTGTTTTTGTACCATTCTCTCTCTTCATCTCAGTCTATCTAAGCTTTTTTTCGGGGGGGGGGAGAAGCATTTTTAAATTTTCTTTTTAGAAAGTGAGAAATCCCACCCCACTCCCAAATCCTGAATAGATTGTTGATTGCCTCAGACTTCGAATCCAGAAAGACCACAAGAAGCCCGGGTCAGCTCAGAATTCCCCTTCACACATATTCCAATGCCCTCTAAAAGGCCCGAGGTCTCCTGAAAAAGGGACAGACATCCTTTGGTTCTCCCACCCCTCCTCATGTCACTCCCAGTCCAGGTCTGCTGTCTCCCTGCCTTTTTCCATCTGCCAGTCAACAGAAGAATCAATATTTTATGCCCAAAGCAATTTTGAAATCCAAGGAAATGAGAGGCAAGGGTACTAGCCAGAGCTCCCTACTCTGCCACCTCCTAAGTTCCCTGTCCTTGGCCTCACCTCTGCCCCAATTGTCCCCTTCCCAATCCTTCTATGTCCCCACCCATGTCAAGAGCCAGAGAGAGAGAGACAGAAATGAGGGAGAGGGAAAAGACGATAAGGTTACTTTTTTGTTTAACAGATGGGGAAGAGGAGGAAAGGGGGAAAGGGAAGGAGGAAAAGAAAATTGCAGGTCATTAGAGCAGCTTGAAAAGAAAAGTACAGAGTTGGGAAATGGATAATTAGGCAGCGGCTGGGCCGTGCTTGCCCACAAACACCCAAGCTGGGGGGGAGGGGAGGCCGGGGCCCAGGACCCCCGCCCAGAGACTGGGGAGCTAGTGCAGCTCGCCAGGGTACACTGGGGGGCACTGGAAAGAGAACACAAGGTTCCCAGTCACGGGAGTGGTCCTTCGGACAGCGGGCAAGTAGTGGAGCCAGCAAGAACATCAAAGATGTTTAGAAGCTAGAGGAAAACTCTTGGGCCGAGGGTGTGAAGCATGTTAGATATAAACCTTTGAGAGGTCAGCCTAATTTCTCCCAAATGGAGATTAGACTCCGGTTCTCCATCTCTGGACCCAAGTTTTGACGGCTAGTAGTGACTTCGAAGATCCCAAGCTTAGACCGTGAAGGGTTAATGCATTGAAGGGGAGACCCGGAGGCCCCGTGTGGAGAAGTAGGCCCCAAAGTCAGAAGGCTCAGCCCAGCAGATCTTCTGGGCCTGAGGTGTTCAAGCTCAAGGGTCAGGGGCAAGGTGGCCTATGGCTCTCACTCTCCCAGATTCTGCCACTTCCACCAACAGGAACAACTGAAATTCTAGAGTCTGAGTGAAAAAGAAAGGAAATTCACACATACACACATACATAATTCATACTAATACACAGGCCTACAAACATTCACTCACTCTGCAGTACATCGATATAAATTTCTAATTTATATTCACATATTCACTCACACTCTATAATAGACACAACAGACTCACGGAGAAACTGCCTCATCTTTACGTAGACCATTCAATGCAGCCAGGAGAAGGGTCTGCTCAAGGCCCTGACCTGGTCTGCCCTCTCTCACTCATCACCCACTAGCTCTTACTCTAGGGAGGTCCCAGTATCCCCGCAACCAGTCCCTCTTCTTTTTATCCCCCACTAGCTGTCCCTATATACCCTATCTGAGGACGAGGACCTTTAGGAGTCACCTCCTCCCTAAGAACAGAGGTGGCTCTGGTAAATAGCTTGGACCAACTGACGTGGCCTCGGGACACTCCAAACTTCCAGAAAACTGACACCCCAATGGGGAGGTGGGGGAGGGATACAGCAATTCCCAAATTTCCTGGCCCTGTTGCTGTTTGCAGGAACCTCTTTGCCTGGGCTAAGCAGAGGGGGCTTTGTTGAACATCGGGCGACAAGGAGAGACACGAAGTTAAGGGGCCTCCCGGCAGTTCAGACGTACGCCGGCATTGACAAAGAAGTTGATCCTTTCTCTCACTCGTGGGGTCCACACTTAGGGAAGCCTGGGAGCAGAGCAGTGAGCATGGGCTGTGCCCTGAGCTCCCACAGCGGGTTCTTAAAGCGCTGGGTTTGTAGAGCTCTCTATCGCGTTCTATGGCGCGGGGCCTGTTGCACCTTCTATTCGGGCTTGCCACCTAATCGAGTAAAGCCCTGGCTTAGTGCTCGGTGCATCAAGTTCGCCCACCCCACCTCCACCCCTTTTTCACCTCAGGACCCGAGCTAGGGGTCAGGAGGCACGGGGATTTCCTGTCCTGCGGGAGTCGGGCCGCGAGAAGACTCCACTCAGGCTCGGCCTCTTTACCACAAGCCGCACATAGCTTGTGCTGGCTAGAAAGTTTGCGGCGGAAAAAAGTTTATGGAGCGAGCGGGGGGCGGGGAGAGAGGCCCGGGAAGGGAGGCAGCGGGCGCGGGAGTTAGCTGGAGGGGAGGCCCTCTGCGCTGTCAGACTCTCTGCCTGCCTGCGTCCCAGATTGGGATCGGAACCGGAGGCTGAGCACAGGGAGATCGCGGCCCCGGCACGGGCGAGACCTACACGGAGTCAGAAAGGAAGACGTGTGGAGGGATTGACGAAGGGAAGGAGCCACGGAGCCCGAGGGAGCAGTCAACGCCGCCCGCCGGAGCCCGAGCTGGGGCTGGAGGCCGAGCGCCCCCCGCAGCTCACAGTCCGCCGGCCCGGGAGGACTGCTCCCGGTCTGTGCCTCACCGCGACTCTGGCTCTTTTTTATTCCCGAAATAAATTTGGGAGACGCGCCATTTTCTGAACTCTGCGCCCATGTGCGGGGAGGAAAACAAAGGCCCTGGAGAGAGTGTGGCCCGCCCCGCGGCCGGAGCCGAGCCTGGCAGGGCCCTGTGCAGGGGGGTAGAGGGGGGAGCAGAGGGGGAGCGGAGAGCAGAGCCCCGCGCTAAGGCGGGCAGCGCCAGGCCCTGCTGAGAGGGCTTCCCCGGCCCCCCTCCCCCTGGCAGTCACACCCTCCACACGCACTCCCACCCCCACCCCAACACTGACACTGACACTGACATACACTCACGCTCGCATACACTCACACTCATTCGCAGCCTGACACTCTCGCAGACACACACACTCAGCCTGGCACACGCGCGCCTACAGTCGCCGTTCCACACTGTCTCGCACACACCACCCTCGCGCAGACTGACTGACACGACATGCAGTCTTTCGGAGGCAGCCGGACCCACTCGCAGACAGCCTCGCAGGGAGACACGCGCGCTCGCACACACACCCTCCTAGACCTGGGGCGGGGGCGGCGGCGCCCGGTTACCTGGGTGAGGCAGTACGGGGAGTACATCGCTCGCCGTCCGAGGAGCCGCGCGACTGGCGCGGCGAGGCGCGACTCAGCTCAGCTCAGCTTGGGCCGGGCAGTGGGGGGAGCCGAGCTTCAGCTCCGGGCGAGCCTGCCCCGAACCCCGCGCCGCTGCTGCAGCCGCCGCCGCCGCCGTCGCCGCAGCTACTGCTGCCTCCGCTGCCGCCGCCGCTCTAGCTGCCTCCTCACTCGCCCTGCTCGCTCGCTCGCTCCCTCTCCTCTCCAACTCTCCTCCTCTCTCGCTCTCTACTCCATGCCGCTCGGTAACCCCGCCTTGCAGTGCTCTCTGAAAGTGAAAGTTTAGACAAAGTTTGGAACCGAGCGCACTTGAGAGAGAGAGAGAGAAAGGGAGAGGGAGAGCGAGAGAGGGAGGGAGGGAAAAAGGGAGGGAGGGAGGCAGCCCGGCCCTCCCGCCCCGACCGCGCCCGCTCCCACCCCCGCTGCACACACGGACACACACTCACACCCACCCCGACACATACTTTCTCTCTCACACACTTACCCTAACAAACAGTCACACATGGACACACTGACACACACGCAGATACACATTGACACCCACGGACATATAGTGACACATCGGCATGCTTAATGGCACGCCTCCCCTCTCCCAAACACACAGACAAGCCCACTACCACTAGGTCGTACTGACACACTGTCGCAGGACAGACACATTGTGTATGTGTATGTGTGTGCTCCTGCCACCTCCTTTCTTGGTGACAGGAGACATGTGCTTCCAGAGCCTCCTCCAGCCTGTGGGTGCCCCTTGACCCCTCCGCACTCAGGGACACCCCTTGGCATTCCACTTCCCTTCCCACATTACTGCTGGCTCCAGGATCCCCTGAACGACTGCCTTTCCCTGGCTCAATCCCAGTCTCAGGTGAGCCCTCCCCCTTACTGGGCAGCAGGGAATGGAGGAGTGTAGAGCAACTTGGAGTTGGGGGTGGGGGACAAAGGAGGGCTGGAGGTGCCAATGGAGGAAAGGAAGAGGCAGAGAGAAAGAGAGAGAATGTCCTGGATTCTAGCTCAGGAACATTTTTGCTGAGTCCCAGCTCAGCACCAGGCCCACAACTACTTACTCTGAGTCAGGGAGAGAAATGAGACAAAAGTAGAGCTCCTGTGGGTGTGACCCCCTGTCCCCCTAGACCTAGAGAATTGGGGTATGTGTGTGAAATAATCCCCTCCCCATCAGCAGCCCACAAGGTAGATTCTGTGGAAAAGCCTGGGTATTCTTGCAATTTTCATCTTCACTTAGTCTTCCAGGATGAGGGTTTCAGTGTGTGTGTGTGTTTGGAAGGGTGGGTGTCTTGTGTATTTGTGAGCCCCAATGTGTCTCGGTGTGCTGAGGCTCACCCCCAGAGGATTTCAGAGCCCTCCATCCTCCTGCTCCTCTTCTCCCCCGGCAGCTGAAGATGAAAAGACTTGGGCAGAGAGGGAATTGATACGTCCTTAAAAATTCAAGGGCTCCTCGTAAACAGAAACTTTTAACACCGTTTAAAGTTTCAATTCTGCTGAGGAGGGGGATGGGGAGACTGGGAGGGGTACACTGGGCAGGGGGCCTGGCTTCTTTTGGGTTAACTTCAAAGAAGCCAGCCTCCTCACCTGGCCTAGGGGGACCTGCAAGGCAAGTAATCAAAATCAAGGATGGTACCTATCCCTAGGCCCCCCTTCACCCCTCCATTATCTGGAACACTAGTGGACATTAACCCAGCCCCCCCCATAAGGCCACTAAAGGAGCTACCAATATAACTTCTGTTCTTCCCAACAGACCCAGGGAACTAGGGGTAGTTAGAGAGTACGAGGCATTGTCCCCTCCTTTTGGATCCCCAATCCATTCTGCTGCCTATCAGCAACCACAGAGCTCCAGGACTGCTATCTTACCCTCTCAAAAAAAAAAATTGACCTGCTATTGAAATGGAATGAAGGCAAGAGTGTCTAGATGGAGGCATGGATGAGCCACCTCTAGACCAACCCACCAAAATATCTGTTCTGGGCCTTTTACCAAGTGAGTACAAGTCGCTGAGGGGTAAGGGAGGGAGGAGGCAGCTCCACATTCAGCCTGAGCACAGATTAGCTAGGAAGGAATGGAGATTCAAAGTGAAATGCCCCTCAGAACTACCTGTGAACCTTGCCCGGCCTACCCTTCCCATCTGTGCCCCTGAGGAGACTCCTTTCCAGGGCCAGCTTAGGGAGACATAAAGGAAAGGAATCATTCCCCTCTTAGAAACATAATAGTATGTGTACAGAACATATATTCCTCTATTTTTCCATTAACTATTTCTACTTCTATTAACTCATCTGAACCTATGACTGGATCTAGAATCTGTGTCTCCTTGTGCTGTGGCATGTATAGGGATAATGTGATTTCATTGCTATGGAGAACTTCTGAGTGAGGAAGCTCCTTCTACCCATTCAGGACCACACCTTCTGCAACTTAGTTTTAGACAATTGCCTACAGCACTTAGAGGTTAAGTAGCTTGCTGGAGGACACGAGGGTAGCATGGAACCCAGGTCTTCCATGTTCCAAGGCCATCTCTCTATACAAGATGTGTGTAAAGCATTTCTTAAACTGCAAGGCATGATGTGTACAAAATACATAACAACTTATCATATAGATGAGCAATTGTTATGCAATGATGGAAAATGGTTCCCCCACCATCATTCACCATACAGACTTCATTGACCACCACAGTGTGTGTGTGAACACATGCACAACCAGAAAAACAACAACAACAACTACCTTTTCATTCTATTTCAGTCTACAAGTGGTCTGGTGGGAGTTGGGGATTGATAAAAGAGAGTAGGCAGTAAGGATGGTCCTTTGAGCCTAGTGGGCGAACACCCCCTCCACCAGGTACCCAGACACACCTAGCCAATGAAAAATCATCCAGGAGGAGATGGGGGGGTGAGAGGGGGTTCCCTGGAGCAAGCCTCCAGCAGGTAGGTTGGGCACAGCTGGAATGTCACAGCTGGAATGCCCCAATGTTCCTCCTGGCTAAGGCTGCCCATCTGGCCCCAGTTGGCAGCAGGTGCAGCCCTTTCACAATGCAGGTGTGTGCAGGGGGAGGTGGGGAGGACTGAAAACATCTAGGGGCCCAGCTGGCAACTTCCAGGGCTTTGGAATGTTTGGAGCAGGTGAGTTCCAGGCAGGAGCGGGATGTGGGGAGAAACTGTTGGAGAGGTCTATCCTGCTCAGGTGGGCTAAGCTGGAAAGGGGAGAGCCCGGAAACCCCTGGAAGTCTTATTAGGACAGCAGCTGTATTTGGGTCCTACTTGGGGGACAAATGGGAGGAGGATAAACTGGGGATAGAATGTGGAGATGCTGTTTACATTGCAGAGCAAAGACCGTGAATGCTTATGGTCTTGGGTGCCGAGGGACAGGTTTGTACTGTGCTTGATTGACACCTCTCCTTCCTTCAGCCCCCTCTTCTCCACCTCACCCCTTCTCTTAACCCTTCCTTTCCCCTCTCCCTCACTTAACCCTAACCCTTACTTCTCTCTTTACCATAAATCACCTCTTTTCCCCAAACCCTCCTCCCCTCTCTCACTCCCTCCTCCCTCTCTCACCCCCCTCCTCCCCAATTCCCTTTCTTCCTTAGTTCCCATTTCTTCCCATTCTCCTTTTCCCTCAGCCTCCTCTTTCCCTCCCAGATCACTCTCCCTTTAACCCCCTTTTTCATTCCCACACCACACTCTTTCCCAAGTTATTCTTTCCCTCACTATTCTTTTTCTCCAGCCCTCAGACTCTCTCTAAGCCCTCTCTCTCTTGACCCAACCTCTTCCATTTTTCTTCAATCTCTCCATTCCCCTCCCTCGCCTCCACCGCCGCTGCCATCAGCCTCTTGTCTTTCCCTATCCAAGTACTTCTCTTTCCTTACCCTATTAGGCTAGGGTAAGGAAGCTCACTGGTTTCTGCCTCTGACATTCCTGTTCACTCAGACCTGATGGTGGGACAGGTGGGTAGGTCTAGCTGTGAATGGGCATAAATAACCTTCTTGAAATTCCCCAAAGGAGAAAGTATGCCAGAATCTCCAAATTCCAAAGATCCTTAAAGACAGAATTTGTCTCATTTTTGTCTTTGTGCTCTCTGCATCTAGCATAATGCCTGGCCACTTAATATTTCCTTAATTAAAAGCAACTTTGAGTTGGGGAACTGTGAAATTGGGGTGTGGTGGAGAGCTATTGGACTAAGCTAAGAAACCTACATTTCAGTCTCTGTCCCATGATTAATTTGCTGTGACCTAGGACAAATCATCTCACCCCTCTGCTTCCTCATCTGTAACACAGGGATATTAACACCTTCCCTGCCCAATTCATGACACTATGATGTGGATCAGATGAGATAAAGAAAGGGAAAGATCCCGTGTAAATTATTGTTCTTATTACTATTACTGTTATCATAATTTCCAGAGGCAAGAAGGCAGGATCAACAGAGTGTGGAACTTGAAGTCAGAAGATCTGGCTCTGTGTCTCATTTCCAACACTGTGTGACCCTGGGCATGTCATTTAATTTCTCATCTCAGTTGACTCCAGTAAAATGAGGATGAAAATACGGACAATGCCTATGGTGAGGGCTGGTGTGAGACTTGAATAAGGTCATGTACATGAAGTGCTTTGAAAACTTTAAGGTGCTTATATTATTATTATTACTGTAATCTTTGGGGTTCTTCAGAGTACGCCCAGGGTTTGAGCACTATGGGCGCTCAAGCCACCTAAGGTTCTTTCTGGGTGCTTCGGAAGGTTAGCATTGATTCAGCCACTCTTCGGACTCTGTACACACATAAACCTGGTGACAATTCTACTGCACACCTGGTAGAAAGGAGGATCCTATAGGTTTTCCCTAAGTGGAAGCTGAGAAACCATTTGGGAAACTTTTCATTTGTAGCCGAGACCCCAGGAGACCCCAGTGGAAACTTGGAAACGTGGTCTGAATAAGACTTGTGTTTGAGAAAGGGCAGGGCTGGGAAGGTGGCGGGGGTGAGCATATTTGAGTGTGTGTGTGTGTGTGTGTATGTGGGTGGGTGTGTATGTATCTGTGTATGTGGCTATGGCTGTGAATGAGTATGCTTGTGTATTTATGTGAATATGCATATGAATCTTTGCATTTGCAAAATAAGGGTGTTAGACTAGATAATTCCTAAGATCCCTTCCTTCCCAGTCTTATTTTATGAGCTTGTGTTTTTGTCTCTGTATCTGTGAGTGTGGAAATGTGTATTTGTGTATATCTGTGTGTGAGCAAATGAGTATTATATAAGTATGTCTTAGTCTCCATGATTGTGAGTATATATCTGCGTGTAACTCTCTACATGAGTTTGTAGGAATATGTCTGAGTCTTTGTGATTATATGCTTGTATTTGTATGAGTGTGAGTGAATCTGGGTGAGTGTGCCATGTGACTCTCTGCATGGGTAAGTGTGAGTATATAGATGAATGTTTGTATAAGTTGCATATACAGCCTGTGTCTAAGAATAAGTATATGGGTCTGTACCATGTGTCTATTTGTAGTCTTTTTTTATATATGAGTGCCTGTGGGGTTTTAAATCTGGGTAGGTGTAAGTCCACTTGGGGTGCTTGAATCCTTCACAGACATTCTCCCATTTCAGCGTCAAGGTTGAATAGTTTTCTTCTCCCTGTTCCCCCACTCACTCACACAAGTCTCAGTGACCCAAAGGCAAGTTTCCTGTAACCCCCTCAATGAACACCCCTCCCCCTCCAAAAGCACACACTCAGACTAGAATAGTACAGCTCT